GCAGCGGGGCCTTTCACCCATCTCGTACAAACGCCATTCTGGTGTCTGCTTTTGTCAGCCACCTCGGCGCTTCTATTGCCTGAGCAGCTCGCTGCGTGAGTCTAACGATAGCAATCTTCCCAGACGATACGTCTTCCAGATACATGCCTAGTGTGTGGGCCTTCATAAACCCTTTGGGCCATGCCTCAGTTCCGGTCAATCACGCGTTGATGTCGTGGGGTAGCATTTTGGTAGAGTACTGTCAGCTCGATGCGCTCGGCAATGATCATTCCCTCAGGTATTAGAGATGTGCGTGATGGGCATCAAGATCAATGTTATGCTATTCCTGTTCAACCTGCTCTTCCCCATGTAGAAGAATCGTCATATCGTCCGAGCTTTTGTGATAGATTAAAAAAAGCGTAGGTACCCGATGGACGCTGCGAAGATCCTAGTATGCGTTCTTCAACTTGGTTGCTGTTGTCCTGTGCGACGAACAGCTCGTATTCTAATCTTGGTCAGCGGCATTGCAGCCGTCCTGTTCATCCTCAACGGCCTCCTCAATGGCGGAGGCGGCATGTGAGGACTACAGCCGTACCGCTCTGTCCTATCGCTGTATCAGATTCGCTGGTGTTGGAATAGTGATGGGCGGGATGTGTTTGGTAGAAGTGTATAAAATATACACATTAATGGAGCAACGACAACTGCATACTCACCCACTATTCGAGAACGCGAGGAGCTGGGGTCGTCAAGAGCGCGATCGTAACACATACTATTTTTTGCTATAGGACGGTCCGACCGACTTCTTTCAGAATTTGGTGTAGTCAATCGCATGAACGTAGCTTTTCGAGATGATGACGATGATATAGAAAGTATGCCCTCGTATTTTACTCTCATCAATCGTGTTCATGTAGGTGTGCGTCGCCCTACAGGCAGTACACGATTCCAAGGTGGTCAAGGTCAAACGGGTCCTTCAGCATTGCCGACGGCCCCTCCAGTTGTTCCTGTCACTGAGAATCAGCCACAACCTGTGAGGGAGACAATCTACGGTGTACCCCTTTGAATGAGTTCTGTTATGGCAGGCCCCTACAGCGCCTCGAGATAATGCAGCATTCTTAGACCGACTGGATGCCAATAGACAGCAACAGACCAAGACAGTTCGGCGTAGGTCTCTTTCCAAATGGGTACCATTCTATGGTGCTATTGTGTCAGAATTGGAAGACGAACGGTTGCAGCGAGAGCGCAGGAATGACGACCCGTCGTGAGAGAGTTGTTCGAGAAATCAGAATTGGATTATCCAATACCGTTTATGTCGATAGTGCCTTCTGATTCCAAGTGCCCAGTGTGTCATCGGACATTTCCTTTACAGTGTAGGGAAACATTTTGTAGCCGCATTGTGCGTGCAATCGACATGAGATGAGTGTACGCAAACACACTTAGTCCCCTTTGGCATCTTTCATCGCTGTTAATATTGATAATGACCTCGGCAACGACCCGTACCGCCATTTACGCACATTTTGCGTTTATAAGGAACATGGCACTTCTATTCAGGGTTACGGTAGTTGATAGGTACGTATGATGATCTGAGCTTTCTGTTTTTCATCGAAAAATGTTTAATTTCGCGTGCGTTCACCATGAACGCATGCGCAAACATGGCAAGGGCCTCAGCATGTTGAGAATTATTGCGAATTTGCGACTAAAACTTCTCGTTAATGGCCAGCTCAGGAAGTCCTAGTATGAGGATCATCCTGGTCAGTATTTGAATACCCTTCAATGGTGTACGAAGCCCCTCATCTCAAAGTTAAAGAAGGTTCCATTCATCCAGTCGTGTGTGCAGTTGGTGACCCTGGTCGTGCTGAGCTGATCGCTACCAAGTACTGTGACTCGTATGAACAGTTGGCCTTCAATAGAGAGTATCGCACCTTCAACGTTCATTATCAAGGCGCGGATTTCACTGTTGCTTCCCATGGTATTGGCGGTCCTGGATGTGCTATTTGCTTCGAGGAGCTAATCAAGTGCGGTGCGAAAGTGATCATGCGCCTCGGCACTTGTGGGTCATTGAAACCCGATGATATCAAGCAAGGAGATCTCATTGTCACCACAGGCTCAGCTGCAGAGGACGGTGTTTCCCAATATTTGGTCCCAGCGGGTTTCCCTGCTGTATCGGACCCGGCCTTATGTATCGCTATGCGGGATACCGCCCACGAGCTCGGTTTCGAACGCTGCCACTTCGGCATCACTGTAGCGGCTGCTTTGTTCTACCCAAGTCCAGCTAAGGAAACCACTTTGCTTTCGCATGCTGCTGCTGGGGCAATTGGTGTCGAGATGGAGAACTCAGCCCTTTTCACTGTGGCTTCTATCAGAGGCATAAGAGCAGCCGCTATAGCTGCGGTGGACGGGTGCCCTTTGAGATGGGATGAGGGAGATTATGACCCTCATGGCACTGCAGTGAAAGAGGGTAAGCATCGTATGATTCTAACTGGTATTACCGTGGCCAAACGAGTCGTTCTAGAGGGTATATAATTGTTCACACAAGTTACCTTATTCTCATTTGTCGAGATGGTTTCATGATAATTGTAGTACTAGTAGTGGGGCTTGATGCCCACCCTATCTATTTGAAATAGATCATTTCGAAACGATGGCTGATAATCATCGAGTTGAGTGCGAGTGGGTGGTGGTGAAGAAAGGACTCCTTTGATGAAGTTGCCCAGGACTCAAGTACGCAACACTACTGCATCATATCACAAAATTATCATGGCTTCCATTTGTTCGATATGATGTCGAACTTGCTGGAGTCATTTTCGTAAAGCCAGTGCTTCCGAGGAGGTTCTGAAGGCCGACAACACATGAGGTCTTTCTTGGCACGAAGTGCTGATGTCATGAGTTTGGAGTTGATCTCGTAGTTGCTCAGAAACCTGTTGGCCAACAAAGTGCCTGATGTGGAAAGCAGCACCCACCTTATGCGAGGGTCGTCCGAATTCGTAGATCCTTCAGGAACCATGTGCTCTAGAATGCTGTAATTGGTGTATCCCTGTAAAGCCTGGTTGATTCCTCCTCGGGTTTTCTCAAGTGTTTGCCTCTGTATCACGACAAGCTTGTTTCGTTGGCGAACCTCAGAATCTGTCCAAGAGTGATTATAAGTGAGAATTTGGCCACTCGGCGTACCGTCGATTATGGGGAAGTGTATCCCTCCAGCTCCTCCTGCTGATACCCATTTGAGTGTTCGTTGGTCGCTCTCGGTTGAGTTCAACGCCCGCAGTGGCTCGAGTGGGCTCTCGTAGTCTCGTGATAGTACTCTCATCTGCCAAGGCCAATTCGACAGAGATCTTTTAATTTGACGGCACTGATGATTGAGCATGGCTGAAGCCAGTGATCGCTCGCTAGTTCGAGCATTTGTAGACGGTGTTCGCAAACCTCGTGAGCATTTTTGGATGCGCATAAATCGATGACCAATGAGGCTTGTGAGGCCAAATTTCGTTCAAGTATAGCGAACATCCTCATGAATAATGTTCATGAGTGATTCAGTAGAAGTTGTGCTCGCTGTAGATCTCTCGATAGGGTCTTGCTCAGCCGACTCTCAAATCATTTTCAGAGGCCGGTGATGTCACTGGCATCATGCAAGAGCTCCTGTGCGGTCGCAAATTTCTCCATTTTTCTGACTTCTGATCGAAGTGTCCCAGAACATCGCTCTCCGTTCGCACAAGAGCAATTCAAGTGGGCTGAACAAGAGCCCTTCGACACTCATTCGTAACCGATTGATACGATGCCTAAAATACTCACGAGGTTTCGACACACCTTTTGATCAGGGAGCATTCTCATAGGAGCATTCGTACGCATGGGAAACCGTAATCATTTAGGAGATTCCCCGAAGTGTCTGGTTCTGATCTTATGCGTTTCACATTTGACATTCTCTCTTTGAGAGCCTTATATATAATGCGAAGTCAATCCCACCTGCGCCTCGGAGTTGCATCGTTGCATTTCACCATCAACTCGAATATATGCTCTCGTTCGGGGCCTAGTTATAAGTTCACCACGGCGGGAAGGCAAGCCTGCGAGGGGTTTCCGATGCATCAATATGAAGAGAAATCCTGTTACGAACGATTTTTGCGAAATTGACGGTTAGCCCACTATCGCCAAATACCAGTGCATGAGACTACTGAATAGGACGCCCCCCAATCTGAACCGACGACCTGTCGATTGAACACCAGTCATTCTACCACTACGCTACACACCATTGAGAACAAAGTTTCGATGCAAGCGATGTTATCGAGAATACATAGTTTCCCAATTGCTCATTCGAGAGCCATACATGAAGGGAATTTCAGCTTCCTTACTCGACAGGCGAGTCTGTTGCTTGGATCCCTCGTCCAATCCATATCTGTAGAGGAACTCGGGGGTTTCTTCGGTGCTACGTCGGTTCGCGCATTACGCGCTCGCCATTATGATCGATTCAAACTCGTACGCGCAGGTTCATCCATCGCTCATCACAATGGATGCCTCAGAAGTCGACGCGACTGCTGGACGTAAGTTTGATCTCGTCAGGACGCTCATATACTTCTAAGGTGTCAAATATTTGACCATTCTTTCCCCTTCCCTTGCAGTCCCTTCCATCGAAGAGATGGTCTACCTGGACCAACCCTTTGACTTCACGCAGTTGTCACTCGAACAACTTGAAATTGAAAAGCTCAAGTTAGAGATCGCCCTGAGGTGAGTGTTCATACTCGAGGGCTCATCATATGGGTCATGTGATGTTCAGACAAGAGGAACTTCGGAAAGTACGACTAGACCGTCGAGCACTTGAGCACATGAACGCCGCCGCGGCTGCTGCTGTGGCCGCCCACCATCAGCAGCAGAATACTCCTCCTGATGCCCCTACGGACTAAGGATTGTATCCGGTATCATCACTCTCATTATATTTGCACGTTATCATCATCTCTGGCATGCTCTCGAGTTAAGCACATCGTCGGTGCTCAGAGGATCCCATGATGAGGTCTCGGGAATCGGAATTTTTCTCAGCCGTTTATGCCCTTCGCGCTTCCTCGTAACTGCCGTTTATTCGCAACCTTGGAAAACTCTTGACACTCGTAACCTTTCGAGTCGATAGTCTTCACCACAGCGGTAGCTCACTGGTACGACGTTATGAACCGTTATTCTGTTCTGAAGGAAAATGACAACATCATCCATCAAGTCAACTGTAAGGCTAAGTTGCTCGTGTTACTACTGACTGGTCTTGTCCAGTGCCCTCCAAGTCGCTAGATCCGCTACAGTACGTTGCTGAGGAGGCCCTAAGGGACTTGGGCAACCCAGATATCTCTGTGATGCTCCTTGACCTAGGTAGGTTATCACAACACTCAACCATATATGCACCTGCTTCAGATCAACTTGAGCGTCAGATGAAAAAATGGAAAGAACTGCTACCCCGTATTATCCCGTAGGAACTCACTCTTGCTCCAGCGGCTCAACGCCAGGGTTCTTGTAGATACTACGCAATGAAATGCAATCCCGAGCCAATGCTGGTGAAGACTCTCTACCACTTGGGCTGTAGATTTGACTGTGCTACCATCAATGAGATGAAGCTGGTCAAAAGTATCCTGTCCGAGAATATGGGGGGTTCGAACGCCCATATTATAGATGTGATTTCTCCCACCTTTTCTGGTAGAAGGAAATTTTCTTTCAGGAAATGATGGCCTCGCACATCGTTTATGCTAACCCGAACAAATTGCCGTCTCATCTCATTGGTGCCAGAGACCTGGGAGTTGAGTGCATCGTAGCTGATTCTGCCTTTGAGATAGCCAAGGTGGGTTAATCGGCTCTTCGTTGCTCTTCTGGTCTCATTGATATGCGTTCAGATTGCTCATTATCATCCGACAGCTAAGCTGCTTCTCCGTCTTGCTTGTGTTGACAACAATGCGCAGTGCCCGATGAGCTCCAAGTTCGGCGCATCCCTAGGGGTCGCGGTTAACGTGCTGTTGGAGGAAGCAGTGAACCATGGCTTGAACGGTGAGAAGAGTTCCACTCAGCCAAGCGTATTAGATGTCACTTTTACCTCAGTTGTTGGTGTATCCTTTCATGTGGGATCGGGATGCTCGGACGTCCACTCTATCACCAAGGCTCTGGTTGATGCTCGTGAAGTCTTTGATGCTGCTGCGTAGGTCCTACAATTTTCAAAGTTACGCCTGACATCTCCTCGGGAATTGTTCGTCCGGTTTTGGTGTAGTCGTTGATGGGTATCCCCTCAGCTCTCGCTATGGTATGAAGTTGTCCATTCTTGACATTGGTGGAGGCTTTCAAGGCGTCGATAGGGAAGGTAGTCACCACCAGCTTGTGGCTGCTCTCAATTTTTGTTAGGATCCCCACTCAACTTTAAGTCTATGGCTACTGTGGTTAACTCTCTGCTCGATACTCTTTTCCCCGATCCGGATGAAGTCCGTGTCATCGCTGAGCCCGGGAGATTCTTCGCATGCAGTCCCTGTGCACTGCTCACCAAAATCTACTCGAAGAATGTTGTTGTGTCGGCGGCTAAGCTGCCAGAGGTGAAGAGTTGTGGTGGCATCAGTGACGAGGATACGATGGATGGTGGAAGCAGTAGCAGTGCCAGTGTAGATGAAGGCGGAGCGAAGAATCTTTCGTCGCTCACTAGGTAGGCCTTGGTCGTGACTCGTATGCGGTGTGGGAAAATATGCAAATGCTCAACTACATGTGTAGGTGACATCTGCGGAAATTCCGAGGAAAATTGAGGAAATTACTCTCATTGGTTTCTGTACACTTACCCCTGAATTCATATATAGACTTTTATAATTAGTGAGGAAATTACTGGGTTTAGCTGAGGAAGGCCAACATTTATTCCCCCAACACTATGGGATTATTCGCTACTGTTGTAGGCTGTATCTCAACGATGGTGTTTACGGCTCTTTCAACTGCATTCTCTTTGACCACCAGGTTGTGTGGCCAGAGGCTCTCTATGCAGAGTAATACTAACCTTAACAGTGAGGAGAGATGATGGGGCCGTTGTGCAGAACCGAAATACGCGGTATCGCAAGTGTCACTAACCCGACGCAAGTGCTCTTCGGACCGACGTGTGACGGATTTGATACTATTATGCAAGGCGTTACCCACCTTCCTGAGATGGAAATAGGTAGTTGTCTTATAGTATGAGCCCTTTATTAGTAGTGGGGTGCAGGTGACCATCTACTATGGAGGAATATGGGCGCTTATACTACTGCTGCTGCTACCAACTTCAACGGTTTTGATACTCCTATTTACTGGTAATATATTCGTAACACTTGTTGTGAGTGTTCTGATAGGTACTACAGAACTACGACCATGACTACTACTTAGTCCCTACCGAATAGAGGTTATTTTGTTCATATCTCTGCACTCAGTCAATAGCACGATGCCCAGAGCTTCAATAGGGCTTCGCAGTGTTGTGTTTGGAGTGACAAGTGACGGTGGCTGGTCGAAGCTCCTCCTGTATATACTCGTTCCTTGTTTCCTTATGTCCGATTCGGTGTCGTCAAAGCCGCGCGGCTCTGATGTGCGAGTGCATCGGTACTCTTCTCAGGAGATATACCCTTCTTTGAATGTGCATACTGTTGCAGATATGAATGGTGGAAGTCTATTGGTTCTCCCCGGTATGTGACGGCCCCTATGGTGGATCAGAGTGAATTAGCGTTTCGTATGATGACTCGAAAGTAACTCTTTAAGGGAGCTCCGGCTGAGATGCCGAGTTGGTCGGTCTAGGTATGGCGCGCAGTTTTGCTATACTCCAATGATGCACGCGAAGTCCTTTGCTACGTCGAAGAAATATCGAGAGAAGAACTTCGAAACCGTAACAGGGGGGATTGCGGCCATCACTGTATCGACTTCCACCTCACTGCTGTCCTCGCGTAGGCTCCTGGAGATTCCCCCCTGGCTGCCCAGTTTTGTGGTGATGATGGTGACGTTATAGTAGAAGCCGCGAAGCATATAGAAGATCAGGTAATAGGAGCTGTGGGCTGGTCTCGGGGAGTTGTGTATCACAATAGGTGTCGTGCATTGACCTCAATCTGGGATGCCCTCAAGGCATCGCTAGAAGAGGCCACTATGGAAGCTTCCTGCTAGAGGAACCTGAATTGGTTCTCGGCATTGTAGAGAAGATGGTCAAGGTAACTACCTCGGTCTTCCCGAGTGAACATATTTGCTGCATTCAGGGCATAAAGTGCCCGGTCTCAGTAAAGATTCGTCTGATGACCGCTAAGGACGATGATGGTTCGGGGAGGCCGGACGTGGCTGCGACGAAAGAGTTTGTGAAGCGGTTGGATGCCCTTGGAGTTGATCTTATTGCGTTGCATCCTCGAACTAAGGAGTGGAAGGGTACTACAGTTTGGCGTGTCTGTTGGTCTGTTGGAGCTCCTCTTTACATAACACCGGGTCAGGTCAGTTGACTCAAGCCTGTTGGTGGCAAGCGGCTGCGGAGGTTCGTGCATGCGTACCGGACATTCCGTTCATCGTCAACGGGGGCATTTCGTGTTTCGAGGATGTTGAGAAATGCTTTAAGGTGGTCGAACTCGGTGGGACTCCATTGCTCATCGCTGTGTTGTAGGTCACCAAATGTGATGCAGTGATGAGCTCTGAGTGCATCTTAGAGGTCCCGACCTTGTTCAGGGGCCCTGAGAAGGACGGTCCGGCCCTCAGCCAGTGCGAACTGGTGGAGGAATATATCAAATTTGCTAGAATGTACCCTCATACTGCGCCCCCGAGATGTGTCAAGAGTCACGCCTTTCGCATGCTCTATGCCCCTCTGCAAAAGTTCATTGAAGTGCGCGAGAAACTCGGAGGCTCACGTAGTGTGGAAGAGTAAGTTTCTGTATAACCCATCGTGGAATACGTCGAGATGATTGGTTCCTGCCAGGATATCTGTTGCAGTCAAGACTCTCGATGAGCTTGTCAGAAATGATTCGCAACAGGCTGAAGTTGATGCGAATCCCTGGCCTTCACGGGGATACTATTGGCGACATCAGAAACCTTTACTATCGACAAGTGACCTCATACGGAAGAAGATTATAGAAAAGCCAGAGGGGATGGAAGAGCTGTAGTTGTGGTTAAGGGAGGTCCGAATAACACTGGCTACTTTCAGACCAACACTGGGAGGGAGGAAACGGGAATATCGGAGGTTGAGCCGCTCACAGCGGAAGGCACTGCGCAAAAAGGAGATGGAAGATTCCCGAGGTGGTGAAGCGGATCCATCGAGCTCACCGAAGAGGATTGCTGTTGACGCACCAGCTTGTACATAGGCCTTTCTTATATAACGTACTTAACCCACTGTCACGTTTCCAAGGAAACCGAATTCTAGAGTTCATCAGACTGGAAGCCATCAAAGTCAACACGGAGTGTCAAGAACATCGGGATGAGAAAAGTATTCCAGACTATTCGTCCCAAGAGGTGCGCAAGGACCACGTTCCCCTTCCACATACAGACCTTGGCTAGACGACCACAGTCTTTCTTTGTTGGGCGTATGCTGACAGCAATATCAAATAAATCACGCTCTGCCCACTAACCTCTCAGCGAGTCCCTGGCACGGATCAAACATCGGTATTGCCACGTATCTGGCTGAGTTATAGATCCCAGTCCCAAGCGAGATAGAAATAACGTCTTCAAAAAGTGCACATAGTGTAACGGTATAGTGCTTCTGCTACATGCGAGAGATCGCAAGTTCAAGTCCAAGGGCATGCATTTCACCACCCATTTTTATATACACTTGCTACCGAGATGTAACCTTCTGCACGTGCATATATCGAAATTGCTCATAACAGACCACTTTCGTTTGAGGTCGCATGTTACATTGAGTGTGTTCGCTCCACATGCCTACGAGAGACCACGTACTGCCAACTTGTAGCAATAGTATCACATATGGCATCTTCCCGATTCTCCCTTCAATGTGATGCAGATTTTACCACAAACCCTTTCATATACAACTCAATATATCGCTTTTGCTCACGAAAGAAGGAACAGTTATCTTATAACAAATGCGAGCAAAGTTAGTCACATACGGACAGTTACTCAAAAGAGGACTCCAAGAAACTAAATCTAGTTCATGAAAGGAGTATGATGGACGAAATGCCAACCCCAACTGCCAATGATGCCGCGCTTGTTCTCGTTGACCTTAGTGGATTCAATGAGACCCTTCTGGATGGCAGAGAGCTTGCCCCAGAGGACCATATGGCCAGTGCCAGGAGCAGACTTAGCACCCAAAACGAAGCAGGCCTTGTTAGGTCCGAGAGAAGTAGCGAACATACCAGCACCCCAAGGCCACCAAGTAGTGACGAGGTCCTTGGCACCACCGAGCCCGCAGCAGCCGCCAACGGACTTACCCTTATGCTCGAGGTGGTCCAAGATCTTAATGTTCTTGGTAGCATGAGCGGCCTGCTCCTCAGAAGGATAAGAGATCTTAGGGATCGGGGGAAGCTCAGGGACCATGTTGCAATCACCAATGGCGAAGATGTGACCGTTACCCCAGAGGGACTGAGAGCCATCCTCGTTAACCTTGTAGACCTGCAAATGCTTGTTCACGTGAATCCATCCTCCGCCACCGGGACCGCGCTTCTTGGGGTCCTTCTCCTTCTTGTCCTCCTCCAAGGGGTTGTAGCCAGTCAAGCACTCCTTAGGCATGAACCAGTTGGAAGCCTTAGTGCCAATGCAGACGAAAGTGCAGTCAGGCTCGCCAGTGAGGCCAATCTTCTCGAAGAAGCCCTCCTCCTTGGGAGCGTACTTCATGCCATAGTAGCACTTAATTCCATGCTGCTTCATGTACTTATCGCAGTAGTCGGCAGCGTTCTGAGGAAGGGGTCCGAGGCACTTAGGAAGGAAATCCATGATGGTGAGCTTGAGATTGGGGAAGTAGTGCTGAAGCTCAGTGACCCACTCGACACCAATGAAACCGGCACCGACAATGAGAACGTTGGCCTTCTTCTTGTTGAGGGCGGCAAGCTTCTCATGCTCCTCGAAGATATGACGACGGCGACCCTCGATGAAACGCTCATCGATGTGCTTCCACTCAGACTCGGCAATGGCACCCTCGTTGACAGTGGGAGCCCAGAGAGACTCACCCCACTTGGAGAAGAGACCGAAAGTGCAACCAGCGGCGATGACGCAGTAGTCGAAGGCGACCTCCTCAGTGTGATCGGAGAACATCGGCTTGACATGAGCGATTTGCTTCTCACCGTCGAGCTGAGTAACCTCACCCCAGAGGAACTTAATGCCCATAGTGCGCTCCAAGATCGACTGGTAAGTGAATGACAGAGCGTCGTAATGACCAGGCTTGACATAAGCACGGAGGACACCAGGAGTGTACTCGAAGTACTCCTTGGCATCAACAAGGGTGACGTCGAAACGACCCTTGAGCTCGTTGGCAGCGAACATGCCGGAGAAGCCGCCTCCGATGACTAAAGCGTGGCGCTTGTCAGAGACCATCAGAGACAAACAAATACTAAACTACACACATGTCACATCGCCTTCGAATGTTCCACGTCAATCCCTACAGGGTACACTCCCACACGGATATCACTTTCCAACTAAATTACTACAAAGTCCATTTCAACCACTGACAATCAATCAAGATAGAGGAACTACAGTGCTCACCAAGACATTCTTACCGGGGAGCTGCAATATGTATGCACTCCCATTTAGCTGTGCGCTGCATAGCTAATTTGTCCCCCTCCCAAGACCAACGGCGCAATTACGGCTCTCGCAAGGTATTCCATGGTATTCTCATTAGAGCTCCATGCGAAGCGGCTAAGATGACTTCCTCATACATAACTCCATCATGGAGACTACCAGAATGTCGAACGGTACTGTAACTCCTCCAAACGGTTCAATTATGGGACGAAACAGGTAAGCCGACTCGAAATGGACAGGCTCTGGTGCACACAAAGGAGACATCTTCTTCGCTTCTACCGCTCATCGCGGTCATTTATGGGTGGCTGGCTTGTGGTTCTCTTATGGGAGGCTCCTACTAACACTACTCATTGGGTCAGGAGACACACTGCGTCCTCGGATACTTTGAGATGTTTGAACTTGGGAACTAACCGCATGGACGTTCACAAGATCGCTAGAGATATCATGGCCACGTTTGGATTTACATTCATTGATTCACAACTCCCATGGTTGATGGTCAATATAACGAGTGGTTGGCTACATATCAACTTGTCCAACACCCAGCACTCCTCTTCGGAATACCTATTTCATAATGTCATTTTGAGGCTCGAAGTGTTGACTCTCGGACAAGTATATCATAACCATTACTATCATCACATACAATGATCCCGCGAATCAGTTGCTGTGCTTTTGCTTAGGACACAATCCAGAAGCATTGGAACCAGATGAATTTTTTCAATACGACCGCAAGCGAATACGACATCCAATAGTTCACTCTCACTGTGAAAACTTCATGCACAACTCTTAGCGGCCCCAACAGAGAAAAGGATTGCACGAGCAAAAAACTCGGCTACGGGAACACTCGCAGCAATAGAATACAGTACTAGTAAAACTAGTTCATGAAAGGAGTATGATGGACGAAATGCCAACCCCAACTGCCAATGATGCCGCGCTTGTTCTCGTTGACCTTAGTGGATTCAATGAGACCCTTCTGGATGGCAGAGAGCTTGCCCCAGAGGACCATATGGCCAGTGCCAGGAGCAGACTTAGCACCCAAAACGAAGCAGGCCTTGTTAGGTCCGAGAGAAGTAGCGAACATACCAGCACCCCAAGGCCACCAAGTAGTGACGAGGTCCTTGGCACCACCGAGCCCGCAGCAGCCGCCAACGGACTTACCCTTATGCTCGAGGTGGTCCAAGATCTTAATGTTCTTGGTAGCATGAGCGGCCTGCTCCTCAGAAGGATAAGAGATCTTAGGGATCGGGGGAAGCTCAGGGACCATGTTGCAATCACCAATGGCGAAGATGTGACCGTTACCCCAGAGGGACTGAGAGCCATCCTCGTTAACCTTGTAGACCTGCAAATGCTTGTTCACGTGAATCCATCCTCCGCCACCGGGACCGCGCTTCTTGGGGTCCTTCTCCTTCTTGTCCTCTTCCAAGGGGTTGTAGCCAGTCAAGCACTCCTTAGGCATGAACCAGTTGGAAGCCTTAGTGCCAATGCAAACGAAAGTGCAGTCAGGCTCGCCAGTGAGGCCAATCTTCTCGAAGAAGCCCTCCTCCTTGGGAGCGTACTTCATGCCATAGTAGCACTTAATTCCGTGCTGCTTCATGTACTTGTCGCAGTAGTCGGCAGCGTTCTGAGGAAGAGGTCCGAGGCACTTAGGAAGGAAATCCATGATGGTGAGCTTGAGATTGGGGAAGTAGTGCTGAAGCTCAGTGACCCACTCGACACCAATGAAACCGGCACCGACAATGAGAACGTTGGCCTTCTTCTTGTTGAGGGCAGCAAGCTTCTCATGCTCCTCGAAGATATGACGACGGCGACCCTCGATGAAACGCTCATCGATGTGCTTCCACTCAGACTCGGCAATGGCACCCTCGTTGACAGTGGGAGCCCAGAGAGACTCACCCCACTTGGAGAAGAGACCGAAAGTGCAACCAGCGGCGATGACGCAGTAGTCGAAGGCGACCTCCTCAGTGTGATCGGAGAACATCGGCTTGACATGAGCGATTTGCTTCTCACCGTCGAGCTGAGTAACCTCACCCCAGAGGAACTTAATGCCCATAGTACGCTCCAAGATCGACTGGTAAGTGAATGACAGAGCGTCGTAATGACCAGGCTTGACATAAGCACGGAGGACACCAGGAGTGTACTCGAAGTACTCCTTGGCATCAACAAGGGTGACGTCGAAACGACCCCTGAGCTCGTTGGCAGCGAACATGCCGGAGAAGCCACCTCCGATGACTAAAGCGTGGCGTTTATCCGATACCATAGAAGAGAGAGAACTACAACGGGAACACATCAACCGTCAACATCCTACACGAACCAGAAAACTGTGATCACAAACAATAAATACGCTAACTATCATCCTGACTCGAAGCTAGATTCCCTCAGCTTAAGGCTGTATATGGAGCTCACATTCGAATCTTGCTTTGAGGGAGATATCGCTATGAGTCTGTTCTGCATCGCTACTCCTAGTGAAGGCTCAGCTGTTGCTGTCTATTCAGTCGCGTCAGAATTACACTTCAATGAGCTAGGTTCAGCTCGTCCTTCTCTTGGACAAGACACTGTTGGAACACTTGTATTCTGAGATAATGAGGTCACCAAATCCAGCATGTAGACATTTTGTGTGTTTGGAGCTGTGGTCAATCCGAACTTCGTCAGTAGTGATGTATTCACCCTGTGTTGACAATCGGGCAAGTATAAGTCTTAAAAACGCTGATACAGGTCGCGTTTTCATAGTGTTCTCCCATACGCTCGTCAAAGCTCTCTTCGAAGAAACTATGCACTCACTAACCACACAAGTCATCAGTCGGTCAGTGAATGAAAGGTGTATATTATACTTAAGTCGTCTTAAACACAAACATCGGGTCTTTGGTATATTTATCGTCAAACCGCTGCAACCACCTGTCGAGCAAGTCCTGAGGGCATCTCATAAACCGAGCGTCACCGCCGTCACTCGTGTTGAAGGACTCGATATACCTGCGATAGACCATAACGACCACTTCCACAACGACAAGGTGTACCGGAACAGATTTAGGGCAACTTTTCTGGCGAACTCCCTCTTGAAATCAGCCGATTCGCCCACCGTGCTCATCTTGGGCAAGAGTGTCTGAGGAGCGTTAGTGAGTCAATGCAATTGCTAATTGCCATTTGACCAACCTCAGAGGGCTCGAAGGCCAAGCCAATGCGGACTGCTGGCATGCTAGCGATATCGGGGTTCAGCGGCCAGCCTGGTGAAAAGATATCAGTGGGCTTCGCGTTTGACAAGGCGCCAACGAAAGCCGCACCATCTGAAAACAACAGAGTCGTAGACACCCTTTGCTTCCTACAGGATTATCCTCCTCATACCAGTGGTAGCTGTGTAGTAAACTCCCAAGCCTACAGTGTCCGAGGGGACTGGTCGTAAGAGGAACACCGAGAACGATGATATACTACCAGGATTGGGCACGTCTACATGCCAACTGAAACCACGAGCATCACGAGTCTCAGTAGAGTCCTCTATCTGTTACCTCGTTTCGGTATCTTGGACAAAGTCAGTGATGAGAGGCCTGCCGGGAATAGCCAGACCGAACAGAGGGCCAGATGCATTCACAGGAGCTGTGTTCATAAGATCAATTAGTGAGATAAATTTGAGCTGCAATCTTGAGCCCTACATCGAAGGGAGCCACTCCGAACAAAACACCCCACAGAGAACACCAATTTTCCGAGTTCCACTGAAGCACATGGTACACAGGCTCAAGCCCTGCACAGAATGTCAAAAGGTAGCAGGTTTGGCACGAAGACAATTAGCTTGGTTTAGCATTTCTTCTCTAAATCGCCATGTTCTATCCAGTAGATTACGAAACCTGAAATAACTTCACTTGAAAAGCAACGTAAGTGATGATGCCAAGAAATACTTACTGTGCGCTTCTGTATTTCTCGAGATCGCTGACAAGGTCCGGCTTTGAGCCAAAATTCGCGCGGAAATCGGTAGTGAACAGATCACAGTCTCTCAAAACGAGAGAGCCTAGCGACATCCTCACCAATATACCACACTTCGCCGAACTACTCACCATGACTCCGGGACTTGGGCAATTCGTGATGCCGCTGCCCAGACCTACCACCGAACGACTTGGGCTCAGCCACTAGATGTTTGATTCTCGCATCGAGGAAAGACAAACGTCGGTTGGCCTGAAAGAAGTGATGCATTGAACTAGCAGGGGGGAGAGTACCCGAGGTGAGTCGAGCTGTGGTGGGTGCAGGACGAGCTGCGCTTTACGGGTACTAGTAACGGGACCTGGCAAGGCTGGGGAATCTCGATGCACACTGCGCCGGAGGGGTGTCCTCACCTGAGTCTTTGATGAAGGAGAGAAAATCTCGACAGTAACGGCCACCACTGGTCAAGCTGTTATCCTCACTCATGGTTGACGACGTGTTAGAACGACTAAACCGTCTGGAGAGACTCGTTGTTGTAGGACCCGGTGCGGGCTTGGTCTCAACTCCTCGACGCGGTGCATGCCGACCGTGCGTGAAAGAAGACAATACACATGCCATTGGAAAACAACCGCTGGCAATTCCCGAGACTTTTTCCTCAGTTCTAATTTAGTCTACAAGCGACCGCTGGTTCAACCAGCCTCACTGTAGGAGCTACGAACTACTCGCAACACGTGTCACTGTGAATGGTAACCCAACAACAATCGGGCGTGAAGCCGTGATCGACATGTGTAGGAGGCTGGCGGTAGCATTCAATGGGACTCGAAGTTACACCTAATCGCTGAATTACAAGCTAGCGATGATAAATTATGGCGTGCCCTCATTTACAAGTACTGAAGAGTCTACTTAACCGACGATAAG